AAATCATTCTGTATTTTGTTAAGTCTTGTGTAGACTTTGTATAGAATCTGTCAAGTTATAGTCATTATACTATAGTTGAACAGCTTCTGTTATCACTGTGGTTAAAGGAAAAACTACAGATTAACAATATATAACTAGTTGTATTCTCTTTCTTATAAAAATAATATAAAAACTAACTTTTATAAAACTCAATAAAAAAGGGTGTGGCAACCTAGTGAAGTGGATAGGTTGTCAACCCTCAAGTGGCAGGTCTAAGGTTCAATTCCCATGGACGATGAATTTTGGAAATTATACCTATGTTACAGTAACTGTCTCTTGCTGATCGGTTGAGTTTTGGGCATCTGTAATCTTAGGTACACCAAGTCGGGCTCCACCTGACATTGGGAGGTCAGGGCATCTATGCTAAGTGTAACATTACACAGTACATGTACATAGAGGAATATAAAACCAGTGTGTATAAGACTTCGGGCAAACCCATGATAAGACTACCAGATGTAGAAGGCTAAGAAACCGAAAAGACAGAAACTCACTTGGAAATCTCAAGTAAAAAGGTAGCACAAACTTTTGATGGTGCCATTGGACTGACAAATGCCCATGAAACACCTTCATAGGAAATTTCAGATAAACCGGATAACAAAGATGTATAGAGGAGCACATGACCAATCAGGCTGCTGGAATCGCCAGAGGAAAAGGATACATAAGTATACTATACTGGGCTATCTGAATTGGGAGTCTGGAGAGTCAGTTAGTTCCGAGTTGCGGCTAGTAGAGAATGATGAAGAAGAAATCGGAAAGATGGGTACCAGGGTTTGGGTGAAATTTACAAGGGTAATAGCGGTTTAAGGGGTAACCCTGACTGCAAGTGTTGGCTCTGGTCATAGTGTCAAACGAGGTTAGCAGTAAAAGAGAATACGGCTCACTCTGGTAGGTTTACCTCGAGGATAAAAATAGTCTAAGGATTATACTTCTATGGTCAAATGTGAATAGATCTGGGTCTGTGATCTGGTGAAATTAATACTAGGGTTAGATCAGAGGGTTTAAATAGAACATTTAAGCAGGGGTGTTAGATATGGCAACTGGTAGGAAACCCTTAGGCAGACTTCTTAAATAGGTAATATAGAAAAGTTACACGTGTAGCCAGTTGTACCCTCATTATAGATACGTCTATATAAAACATGTACCTACTATAAGTATTAATAAAAAGCTCAGACCAAAGAGGTTATCTTAATACCGAAAAAAAAAAATAAAACTCAATAAAGTTCTATTATAAAGTATAATCTTTAACAAAAAAAATATCTAATATAGAAATCTATAAATAAATAATATAATGATAATAATTTTCAAATTAAAAAACAAAAAAAATAGATCAAATTTGATAAAGAAATAAAGATAATAATAGTTAATTGCTCAAAACTATTAGTATAATAGAATATTATTTGCAAACATCTCCAAAAAAATATAGTAACAGATTTTTTTCTTAATTTTTAAGCTTTTATAAAAATTGATCTAGTTCTAAATTATCTTTTTTGAGTTGCAAATAATATAAATTAAGATAATTACTATATATATATTGTTTAATAATCTTATTATTTATTGTTTTAAGCCTATTAATGCTATTTTCAAAAATATTATATATATAAAAAGTAGAACTTTGCAAATGCTTATATTAGGCTCTAGGTATTTTATATTATACCTATACCTATAAACATAAAAATGTCAAACACTAAGGGTCTGCAAATTGTTTATTTTTGAGACCTGGTCCAGTCTGCATTTAGGATTAAAATTTTTTTACCAGTCTGGCTTGACCTGTATATATTAAATTTTTTCTTTAACCTAGCCTGGCCTAGCCTGGCTCAGCTTACAACTATAAAATTTTGCATTAGATCTAAGTTGTAGAATCCAATAAGACCTTTATTAAACACTTTTATAAGCATAGGCACAAATACTAAATATTATAATAGCTATATGCACAAATTGCTAGGCACTATTATAGATACTAGTATAAGTATAAGTACAGATGCTAGGTACTATAAGCACTATAAGTACTAAATACTATAGGCACTAAGTTTTAAGTACTATAGGTACTACTATAAGCACTAAGTGCCAAGCATTATAGGTACTAAGTGTTAAACATTACAGGCACTAAGTATTGAGCAATATATATAATATAGATAGATTCAAAATTATACAGATTCAGAATTCACTTAAGTGGATACTAAATGCACTTAATTTTATTTAAAATCTTAAATCAACTTAAGTAGAAATAAAATTGTTATTAAAAAAAATATAAATAAAAATAAATAAAAAATAAAATAGCAATAATAATAATAATAATAATAATAATAATAATAATAATAATAATAATAATAATAATAATAATAATTATAATTATTATTATTATTATAATTATTTTATATCACATTATTTAATTCAAGAATTATTCTTTATTTTTATATTTTAAACTATATGAATGACAACTACTTCTACATAGTATACCAGAATGTTTACATATACAATTATTATTTTTATATTTATTTTTACAATTACAATGTATACCTGTTATAGTTAACATTGATTGTTTCATGAATACTAATAGCATTATTTTCACAGACTTCAAGCTCTTCATACTTAGTTGGTCCTAATGGCATAAGTTTATTCGCATTAAAAGCTATATTAAGAATACTATTTTTATATTGCAAATAGTACATCTTGTTTAGTACTTCTTTAATTACTTTGCAAGGTAAACTGTGCAGTCGATATTGTTATGATTTATTTTTGAGATTGCAATGCAAACATATTTGTTAATAGCATATTCAAGTTGATGCTTATTTTTTTAGTATCTAGTTTTTCATTTATTCTTAATAGTTTGCAAGTGATTCATTTGTGTATTTACAAGAAAGCTGATAATGTAATTGAATATTTGGTAATGGTTCTTTTAATATATTGAACTATATATATTAAATAAAAAAATAAGTATGTATTTCTAAATTATATAAAATGTATATACATTGTTTTCAAGACTAGCCAGAGATAAGAATTTAAGTTAACTTAAAGATTTAATATATTCAGATAGAAAATCAGTTTGATTATTAATAAAATTTTAGTTTAATTTAATAATAAAGATTCAACTTGATTTAACAATAGAGGTTTAACTTAATTTGATAATAAAACTTCAGCTTAATTCAACAATGAATGTTCAGCTTAATTCAACAATAGAGATTCAGCTTGATTTAACAATAAAGATTCAGCTTGATTTGATAATAGAGATTTGACTTAATATAATAGTAAAGATTCAAATTAGTCTAATAATATATATTCAGATTGATCTAATAATTAATATTTAAATTATATAGTTGAAAACTTAGAAAAAAGTTTGTTAATCAAATTATTATACCAGAATCTTCAAAAAAATTGTTAAGCAAATCTTTTTTATTTACAATATTTTTATTATTATAGCATAGATCTTTAAGTATTAAAAAATGCTAAATTGAATTTTACTCAAATATGAGTAAACAAGATGACTTGCCAATCATATGACTTGTTTGTATGTTTATTGCATTTAATGTTACAGGTGAAAAATTTGTGACAGCTCATGCATTACAATATATTGCACAAGCACTAATCAGAACCCAGAATTGAATATGCATAATTGACCCCACAACAGTAGAATATGCATAATTATGTTCCAACATCTAGCAAAATAAATGTATTCATATTGAAAATAGCATAAGGTCATAAATATAGTGTTTTAGAGTAGTGAAACAATAAAAAATATTAAGAGAAATGGGTTAGTAAAGTTTATAAAATAAAAGTAAAATACAATTGCATAAAATAATTCTATAGAGATGAAATAGTAAGAAAATAAAAGAAAAGCTTAAAATTAATAAAAAATTGTTAGTATCTGCTAAAATGTTTAAAAAGCAAAAGAGAGTTTAATAAAAAAATACTAATTTTAATTATGCCCTAAGTGGTAAGAAAAAGGTCGAAGTCATAGTATTAAAATTAATACTGACTAAATCTTTATCTATAACTTAAGGCTTTATTATCCTGAATTCATAATGTTACTTAACATCTAGTTAGTTGTAGTGGCAGACTTGCTGTTTACCTATCACACTAGATATAGTACATATGTATCAGTTAGTACAATAAAAAAAATTTTTATTATTGTTATAGATTAATAAACATATTATTATTATTATTATTTTTTTGTTAAAGGCCATACTTGTGGCAATACTTTATTGACTTTATATCAGGTTAGCTATTACAACTATTTTTACAGAGATGAGAGTACAGCTAGTTACACATGCAACTTTTGTTTGCCTATTTAAGTAGTCCGCTCTAAGGTTCTACACTAGGTGCCATACCTATAACCTACTAGGAGAGTATTCATTTAAACCTTTTAATCATCTGCCCTGTCATATTGGAATCTCCAACTAACCCCCTGTATATACCTAACCGGTATACTGTCTGAGCAGTATGGTATCTACTCTTTTTGTACTGGTTCCCAGGCCATTACACATTTTAGAGTATGTCACCTGCCAATAAGGCACAGAGGGCCTCTTGTTGTTAACTATCTACCCACTTTTAGAACACTAATACAGGCTACCCTTGCAAAGTTCATCCAGACCCCAGTACTGACTTCACAGCATATCCCTAGTACTTTTAGTATACCTCTGCTTTGAATCAAGACTCCCAATTCAGATAGCCTGGAAGAACTGTGACCTGTTCTTGATATATTAAGAATAGCCTAATATCCTTTTCCTCCAGTCCGAAATCCAGCAGCCTGGTTGGTTGTACCTCTTACCCGAGGTTCTTGCCCATCTGAATTCTTCACATTGGTATCCATTTCCTATGTCTAGCCTTTACATTAGTACTGTTGAAGATCCATGTTACCTCTCTGCTCAAAATTTCCAAGTGGGCTTCAGCTTTTCAGTTCTACAGATTTATACAGCCTGAGAACTTATTTTAGGTTTGCACTGCCCAGTACTAGTTTGCATTCTTCTATGTAACAGGTTACACAGATGTCCCAGACCTGCCAGTTATGCTGATGCGACCATAGTTACAGGTATCCTATCCCAACTGATCGACAGAATGCCATTGCTGTAATACTGTCTATATATTACATAGGTGATTATCCAAATTTTGCTGTTGGTGGGTTTTGAACTTACAACCTACCACTTGGAGGTATGACAACTTATTCACTTCACTAAGTTGCCACACCATTTAATAAATATATTAAATATTATATATGTATAATTAGTAGTAATTTTTTAGTCTAATTACTTGTTTAGTTATTTTTCATCTATTTTTTGAGCTTATTCTGCAGAATTTTATTGGCTTTTTTAACTATTTCTTGTGATTGTGGGTGCCTTGAATGCCTATTAATAATATGTGTATCTGGCCAAAGAGCCATTAGTTCAGAAATAAGATCAGCAGTAAATTCTTTACTATTATCAGATTGTAAAATTATAGAAGCTCCAAATAATGTAAAAATATCATAGAAAAATACTGCTACTTCAGAAGCATGTTTGCTTGTGAGACATCAGGCTCATGAAAAAAAGTAAAATGATTACAAACATGACAAATATATTTATATTTATTAACAGGTTAAAATGTTAATCCAATTAGACCAACTTGAACACAGAAAAGAAAATTTAATGCTACAATAGGTTTGATAAAAAGATCATTTGGAAATAATTAACATATGACATATGTTTTATATGCTCTACAAAATTCTTTAATAAATGACTGCAGAATATAGATATATTGTTTTTTGATTTAAATATTATAAAATTTAAAATAAGCTATATAGTTATTAAATATAGATCAGATATTATAAGAATTTACTTATGACATTTCACATCTTTGATGTACCAACATGTTTTAAAATACCCATATGAATTTTATATAATATATTATAGAAATAGTTAAAAGAACATATTGTATATATTAATTTTGGCTTGTTTTTATTTTTTGTAATTGTAACAATTTGTGTATTTAGATTGCTTTCTATTTCTAATTCTCTAAGTTGAAAGGTTATGTTTGATCTAATGTTGATCTTTGGAAGTTTCTAAGTTTGTATTATTAGATTCATGAAGAACCAAAATAATAAGTTCATAATCAGTTTGTGAAATAAAAGTTTTATAGTACCTGTTTATTGACTTTCTTCAAAGTAATTATTAACTAAGTTATTAAAGGCTAGTTTCAAAATAAATAAACATTCTTCACTTGATATTTTGGTTGAAAATAATTTAAAGATACAATTATTTTATTTATAATTTAATATACAATATATATAGTATAGTCATATATATAATTATTATGTATTATTGATTTATTAAAAGTTCTATATAATGTTTTTATTTGCATAAATTCTGTCATTACTCAAGTCATTTTAAAATTTGAACTCTACTTGAGTGGATTTCAAATCTGTGTAATTTCAAATCTATCTACAACATATATATTACAATTATTTTTATAAATTTTGAAAATTAACAAAATAATTATTTTGCTTAGAGGTCTGCAACTCAAACTTATGTCTATATATAACAAAAATTCAAACATAGGCATGAACATGAAAGCTTTGGTATGGGCATAAATGCTAGTATAAAAATTTGGCATAGTTATAGACACAGACACAAAAATTTGGTATAGGCATGAGCATAGATATAAAAACTTAGCATGAGCATGGGTATAGGCACAAAAATTTAGTATTTATTAATTAATTATATATTTGATGCTATTTGGCACTTGTACCTGACACTTTTTGGCATCTTTTTGTTTAGCATATTGTGCCTATGCATATAAAATATCTGGCATTTGTGATCTTGATTACAAAATTGCCTAATATTTGTGCTCATACTTATAATAATTTCTAGCACTTTTAAGCCTATAGTATAGATATAATATGAGATACTAGTGCCTAGCATAGTGCCAATTTGCCTGACTCAGACATTTGCAAAGCCCTAATTTTGAAATTCTATAAGTTTGTAATTTTAGTAATAACTGGTATATATAATAATATTGATATATTTAAAAATTTACAGATAAGAGTCCAATAAATAAAAATAATTATAAATAAAAATCTAAAATAAAAAGAATTACAAATAGAGACAAAATAATTAAATATTATTATAAATAAGTACTCAAATAATTACATGCTTAAAAACCTATAGTTTAGTTCTATTTTGATAATTTGATTATTAATATATAAAAATCCAATAATAGTTAATTAGTAATCTAAATATAAATTCTAATACACAATACAAAAGATATATTCAATTTATCAACACATAATTTAAACTGAAAATTTATTCATTAAAATTCTTTTATATTTTTTAAAACCTGTTTGTAATTGTTAAATACAAAGTTATAGATCAGTATAACTTTTACAAATTTATAAAAAATGCTTATTCTGCTATTCTGTTGAATTCTAAGTTAAACTAAATAAACTATTATTCTGTTAAATTCTAAGTTATGAATAAATAAATTAAGCAAACTTTTGACTGTTTGTTTTGAAAATAAAACTAGTTAATGTTTTTTTTACTATTTTAGCTAACAAGCATAAAGATGTTCCAACTTGTTAACTTTTATAAATATATTCAAAACATAAATTGTAGTAATACTTTGACCTTGTGATATTGAAAATTGTGTTCATTTTAAAAGTAAATACCTAGACATTATACATAGCAGATTGGAGAAATAAACACATCAAAATACACAAAGCTAGTTTTTTATTTTGAATTATATAAATTTCAAAAATCTGATCATTAGTTGAAATTTTTTTCTATTTCTTTTTTTTGTTATAATCAACTCTCTATAATCACATCCTTAGTTTCAAGAACTTTGTGATTATATAACAATTAAATTTTATATACATTATATAAGTTGATTTTAAAGGTTTGTAATTAGAAGCAAATGAAATTATAAAAAAAGTGACTATAAAGAGGTCTAACTGTAATACTAAATAATAATAATTCTAAAACATCTATTTAATTATGAAGACAATTTACTATTGTAAGTATGATTTTTTGAATTATAGATGCCAAATTTAAGCTATAATCCTTATTTGATTCAAGGTTACAGTCAAAGTAACAGAAATGTTACTTATAATACTTATAGTACTTATAGTGGTGTTGTCACAGGACAGCTTTGAACATAACTTTGAACATTTTTGGACATTTTTAAACAAAAATATAAATTAAAATTACTTAAAATTTTAAAAGATAATATATATACATTTCTAAGTGAAAAATATTTAGAATTTAAAAAAATATATAATCATATATTTTTTAGACAAATTTATTAATTATTAAAACTTGGACATGCTTTGAACACTCTTGAATACTTGGATGTTTGGATATTGAACATGGTCTAAAAAAGTCTTGAATATAGTAGATATGATAACACTGTTTATAATATTTATAGTACTTATGTCACTTCTGCTACTTTGGCCATATATGCATTAAATGACATATTGGCTTTTTATCACATTTAGCTAATATATTGTGTATAAAGAATATATTGCATTTATGATATAAATTAATTACTAATATAAATAAACTGTTTATTATAAATAAAGAGCATTTCTGTCTAGAAGAGAAAAATAACTATCCTTTTTCTTAAACAAATTTTCTAATAATAATAAATACCTGACTTCTAATAAAGTAAAAGTATTACTATATACAAACTAATAAACCATCATTAAATCCCATTGTTACTTCTATCATTCTTCAAATAATACTATTAAACATATTGGTAATCACTTTTCTTAAGTCACATGACCAAACTATAATGTAATAGAGAAAGTTCCAACCCTAATATAATAAAGAGTAATTCCAAATTGAGGCATACAAGAGAAGACAAGAGAAGATAAAAGAGTTAGTAGAGAAATAGATTGTAGGAAAAACCTAAGGAGAAAGAAGACTAGTACTTATCTATAAATAAATTACTAGCCAAATCTAATACATCTATTTGAACTTAGCTGCTATAGGTTATGCAAAAGTTGAATTAGTTTAGTAACAGATTACTGATTCTGGAATTATACTATGATGCTGTTATGATTAAATTAGCTAACAATTTTAATGATATATTTTTGTTCTTATTTGTAATAATTTTTAAATATTAGACCTTTATCTGTAATTATTTTTAATTTTGATCTTTATTTGTAATTATTTTTATTTTAGGGCTTTTATTTATAAATTTTCTTACATTTTTGCCAAATAATATTTGATTCTAATAATGATTGATATATAATAAAACATTTATAAATGCATACATTTTCTAAATATATGTTTAACTTTAGGCCCAAATATATATATAACTTTTATATATGCACTTTTTTTTATTGTTCTTAAAGTACATATTATTAAAGTTTGCATGCAATTATGAAGATTTTAATGTATATATAATAGCTATATAGTGTATATTTTTTTATCTTTGTTAATAACATTTTAAAACTATATTTATTAAAAAATTGTTTGGATGACATAGTAATTCTAAAAATTGACAAATATCTAGATGTTAACAAGCCTTTTATAAATCAAAATTTTAAATATTTTGGTATAAAAAAATCATGTTTATTAAAACTGAATGATATAAAATATTTTAAGGCCTTAATAAATAAAAAGCATGATTAGTATTTGTATAAGTTATAATCAAGATTATAATTAAAACAGATAATGATTATGATCTTAAATATTTAAACCTTTCTGCAATGTAGTTTTAACAGATATAAATAAAGTTTTAATTGTTTGAAATCATTACTTGTGTTATATTTTTTTTAACCTAATCATAAATTTTGGTTATATTAAAAAATTTTTTATTAGCACTTACTGCATAATAGTATTTTTATATTTAAAACCTTTATGTCTTTAATATAATCTACTAATTGGTAAAAGCAATTTTTGGCATAAATATTTGTATAGATAAACAAGCATACCAAACACATTGAACATAAATTTAAGCAAAAACTTAATTTTGAATATGTTAAACATGAATTTAAGCAGAAACTTAATTTTGAATATGTTAACATTGTAGTATCATTTAGAATACTAGACACTATAATATATGTATATACTGTTAATTTAAAATTTTATTAAATTACCAAATAATTTAGTTAATTTTTTGCTAGATGTTCCAAAATTTATGAGAACAGCTCTAAATTGCAAATACTATTATAAACATAGATATTAAATATCTAGCTTATAGGTGAAAATTTTTGATAAAAAATATTGTAATTATTAAAATTAGTAATATGCATATAGGTATTAATATAAATGCTTTATAATATACTAATGAGATGCTAAATTAGTTTTTGTTTGTATATTTCTTGGATTATTTGTTAACTACTATATTTTATTTTTAGTTTCTGGTTTCTAGTATAATTATGTTGTGCAACTATATTATTTACTAATTACAACTATATAAATAACACAATAGAAAATATAATTAAATAATATATTGTCAATCAGGCAGGCTAATGCAGATCGCTTTACCATTTTGGATCTGTCAATGATAATTGTTATAGAGACTTAGTGATTGCAGCAACAAACTCATGCAACGTCGATTCAGGGCTTCACTTTTCGTCTATTCCAAGTATTTCTTGAAGACCTGGGGGTGCAGGTTTTGCCGTTAACAGAAGAAACAAATCAGATCACCGACAAAACAACCGGACCACCTAAAGTATAACTGACCTGCCCATGTCTATGGATTGTCTGTCCATGAACATAAATTGTACATGTTCACATGTTCATGGAAAGGCGTCCGGAACTTCACTGCCGTGGCAATAGAGAACTGCAGACCTGAAGTCGGGGTCCTACACCGAGGGTCAGGGACCCAATTGTGATTGACTTACCACCACGTGGCAGGAAGGATTGGGGTGACGTACGCAGCAACGAAGTGTGTTAACTGTCAAGGACCGGATAATATGAGGCCTATAGCCATCCGTTGACCTCCGCAGAATAATAACTCTGGCCTCAAGAGATCCTAAGTGCCTAAGGACCTTCAGAATCATAGATACTGGTGAAACTAAACAGCACTGGTGACTATCTAAAACTTATTGGCTATTATATCAAATTTCGCCAATTTCACACCATTCACCAGGAGTTTTACAGTTTCACTGGCATCCTAAGTCAGGATGCGGAGGGAAGTAAAAATAAAAAAAAAAACATTTACTTGGCAGGCGAAAAAAAAAATTATGAGTCATTTTAGCTTGCGCAACGCTTAGCTTGCACAGCACTTCGATGCGCTGTTCTCGCACAATTACTAGCATTAAAAGTACATACCTTATATAATCGGTTCGATTGAAACTTGTGAAACCCGAAATTGCTAAAAAAAGCCAACTTGAATACCAAAAATAAGCAATAACCAAACAAAACGCTTCCAGAAGAATAAATCCAAGAGAAACAATTATTTCTAAACGCTAAATAAGTAATAACTATTTATTATCCATATATATTTTTATTGAATGCATACCCGATGTTTCACAAAAATTTTGAAGTTTCGAGTTTTCAAGACCAGTTCTAATCTTTGTTTGTGAACAACCGAAATCGAAGAATTAGGTTCTGATTTGTAGGTTTAATAAGGCATATACGCAACTTTATTTATGCATGAGTACAACGTACAAAATTCCTGGTGCAGCTACCCCTGATTTACATTAAAGCTATATAAATCGGAGGCATAATCCAATTCTTGTCGTTATACTAAATTCAAACTAATACGTTACTTTATTAAACTTTTTTCAAATGAAAATGTTACCGAACGAATGTCTTTTTGAAATATTTAATAACTTTCATATTGATTATAAAACCTTATTTGCGAGCCTTCTTGTAAATCGTCGATGGTGTAGAATTATTATACCCATATTATGGAGTAAACCTGCACTTTATATAAGAGATGAGAGACTTATAAGAATATATCTTTTAGCATTAAATTCTGAAGAGCAAGCTCTATTAATCCCATTTAAAATCAAACCTCCAAATTATCCAAGGCCATTATTTGACTACGAAAGTTATACTACATATGTTGATTGTGCTTTTTTGAATCATGGAGTCAGAGAATGGTTTAGTAAAGAAGGATATAAATATAATTATTATGAAGCTGTAAATGCTACCAAATGCTCTTTACTTGCAATGTTTCTGCGGGCAAGTAAGAATCTTAAACATTTAGCACTCGATACTATTAATAAAACAATATTAGCTGTACTTTGCAAGACTACTACTCTGTCTTCTTTGCATATTAGAAAGTATCAGTTTGGACTAGAAGAAACAAATATATTAGCAGATGTACTTTGCAAAAATATCATGTTGGTGTCTTTGTGCCTTTTTGATAATAATCTTGGCATAGAAGGAGGTAAAGCAATAGCAGATGCACTTTGCAAAAACACTACTCTGACTTCTTTGAATATTAATTATAATAACCTTGCATCAGAAGGAGAAAAAGCAATAGCAGATGCACTTTGCAAGAGCACTACCTTAACACATTTAGATTTAGGTCATAATAACCTTGGATCAGAAGGAGAAAAAGCAATAGCAGATGCACTTTGCAAGAATACTACTCTGACTTCTTTGAATATTAGATTTAATAAGTTTGGATCAGAAGGAGGAAAAGCATTTGCTAATGCACTTTGTAAGAACACTACCTTATCACATTTAAATTTAGATAGTAATAACCTTGGATCAGAAGGAGGAAAGGCATTTGCTGATGCACTTTGCAAGAACACTACCTTAACACATTTAGATTTAGGTTATAATAATCTTGGATCAGAAGGAGGAAAGGCATTAGCAGATGCACTTCGCAGTAATACCACCTTGAATCATTTGAATTTATGTAATAATACACTCGGGTCATCTGTAGGAAAAGCATTAGCAAATACACTTTGCAAAAAAAACATTATGTTAACTTCTTTGAATCTTTGTAGTAATAGACTTGGATCGGACATCGGAAAAGCATTAACATATGCACTTTGCAAAAATGCCACACTTAAATTTTTGGATCTTTCTTATAACAACCTTGGACCAAAAGGAGGAAAACTTTTAGCGAATTCGCTCTGCAAGAACACTACACTGACCTCTTTGACTATTAAAGAAAATAAACTTGGATCAGAAGGAGGAAAAGCATTAGCATATGCGCTTTGCAAGAATACCACGCTGATTTTTTTGGATCTTAGCAACAATAATATTGAATCAGAAGGAGGAGAAGCATTAGCAAATGCGCTTTGCAAGAACACAACCCTGAGAGAATTAAATATTTGTAATAACCGTATTGATTGTACCTTAAAATCTAATTATAAAATTAAAATATATCAATAAATTATATATTGCAAATATAAACTTAAGTTCTATAATTGAATTATATGAAATTTACTTCTACACTATAGCAAATTTCTTACAAAATTTTAGCATTCATTATGTCTGTCATAGACTCTAAATTTCTATACATCTTGTAATTTTTCTATCATAAGAATAGATGGGTGAAATTACTCTTTTTAATAAAACGTTTTAAGTTTATATAATTAGTTTTTCAACATTAAATATCAATTAAAACTAAGCTAAATTAATACGATGGTTGTTTTATATTTAATTTATACGCACACTATCCCAAGCAAAATTTAACACAGTTTACATAAAGTTATGCAATTTATAATATACTAGAGATGGATCAGTCCTAAAATGACTGAATAAGAATCGGTCTTTTAAACTAATTTAATAGTTACTCAGTTCACGGTCTTGAGACAGACCGGACCAGTTTAAAATAGATGTTGGTAATTTTTTTATTGTACTGTACCTGGTAAACTAGAACTTAATATTAGTTAAATTTACTTATTTAAGAAGAAATTTGAATACAAAAAATATAGTTGCGATAACTAACGATAGTAAAAAAAGAATTTTAGACGCAAAAATCGGTAACCCCGTACAAATTAATTTGCGTATTTATCTGATATTTGGCATTTTTTGTAGGATATTTCATTGGGTTGATTAAATGATAATTACTGATCGTCAAAGACAATAGCAAAGTAATTTTCGGATAACCTGATAACCAGATAACTTATTACGTGATACCTTGTAAACTTTTGTTTGATTAGCTAATGCGAGTCGATTACTTATACAAATTCTTTGCAATATATTAATGAGATGCCAGATTAGTTCTCGTTTGTACGTTACTTGGACTATTTGTTAGCTACTATAATTGTTTTCATTCCCGGTTTCTAGCGCGACTACGTCAGCAGCCACCTTATTAGAATTATATGCTCTGCGAGCACAAAGCAGGCATCGAGCTCACTATTATTTTCTTCATTCCACAATGTTATTCATTGTTTGAAGTTTTTTTTAAATAAAAAATCTTTAGAATTTTATTAAAAGGATTTTTGGATATTGATACAACTAGGAAATGGAAAAAATAAACATGAATGCAAAGAAAACTCAAATTATGGTAAGTGAAAATAAATATTTTAAAGAAAAAATTTTTGTATAAAATTTATTATAAAAAAATCAGATTTCATAACTATTTTAGAATTTTAAAAGTTACTGTATAAGAATCAAGGAATTATTTTTGTATAATCTTATATAAATTTTTTAAATAACACTTATTTGCCTCTGCTGTTGAAATTCATTAGTTTTATCTCTAATGTAGCATAAATTAATTTAAGTAATCTAATTTAAATAAATTCATTTATAGTTTATAATAAATTATCATTATTGGCTATAGAAACAAGACATTTAAATAGATCAATTAATATTCTTATCATTAGAAAATAGTAAATTGTATCATTAACACATACACAAAATATTATCATAACAATCCTCATCAGAAATTGAAAAATTGAAAGTAGTAGAATCTAAAAGAAAATTAATTTTAATTAATTAAATTTAACATATAATATGAGTAAATCATTTATTATAAATTTTTACTGATTTTGCAAGTAAAATAATGATGAATTAATTGACTTAGAAAGATTTTTAAAGTTAAGCAAATTGCTTATAAGTTTATTTTTAGAACAAATTGGTAATTCTGTTAATAATATTAGAATAATTGCATTTGCAACCAAGAATACTTTTAATATTACTAATTTATCTTTATTTTTTACACAACTATTATCTAATGTTTTATGCCATTTACCAAGAATAGAGTATGAAATATGTAGAGTATAGTTTACTGGTAAGTTAAGTAGAGTTTGTAATTTTGAATATCTGATTAGATGTTCTTTCTTGTAATTTGTGTATTAATATATATATGTATGTGTGATAATAATCTTTACCTAAATTTATCATAATATAATGATAATATTAATATTATTATTATATATTATATTATTCTATTTATGAGAAAAACTCTTTCTACAAATTCATTACATAAAAATTAACTAAAAAATTCATTTATCTAAAAACACTTATAACTATTTATATTACTAAGTCAATCTGTCTTAAACTCTTAAGTAAACTTGTTCAGCTTATCATTATATATATATTTTATAAATATTAAGCTTCTATATTTTAAACTCATTGAGAAAACTGTACTAAAGCCTTTGGTTTCCAGTTTTACAATTCTAACCATCTTATAGTTTCTATTATCTTAACCTGTTTTATACTCTTAAGTAAAGTTGTAGTACACATTTACTCAGTCAAAACAAGCTCTAAACTAAGACTTTTTGACCTAATTTTAACTAAATACAACTAAATTTAATATTATTCTTTTACAAACCATTTTTTTACTTTTTGTTCTTATCCTATCCTCTTTTTTTTTACATATTTTTTGTATAACTATATAATCATTTTCAAATCCATATCTTATTGATTTATATTAACATCTTATAATCAATCTATTTATAGATATTTATTCAATATAATCTATTATTATTATATTTGGTTCTTATCAGTAATTTGTATTATAAATCATATTTGTATTTAGTACCTAAGTCACAATAGTGATCTCAACCACTTTAGTTACATTCTAATACTACTCTAGTTACATTCTAGTGTTACTCCAGTAATACCTCCACAATACAATCCTTGTTTTTATCTAATATTCTTATAAAATCAATATATATAATCATATTTGTTATTTAAAAAAATTCTCTAAGTCTTAAATTTCTCTTTGCTTCTTCTTACATAATCTGCTAATACTGCAAAATGTCTATAGTAACTTATTAAGAACC